CAATTAATGATTTTTTTTTCTTGACTTGGGTGACGTGTTGCTTTTATAGGTCATAGTTATGAGCCTTTTCTGTGACTTGCAAACGGAAAATATGACTTCTTGGCTCTCTTGAATTGTTTGGAAAATTGCTTCTTGCATATGAAAAGAGGACAACTCAGTATTTACTTTATTTCATTGTAAAAGCTCTCATCCCTCGTGCAACGTTTATGTTAGTAATTAAAGTTTAATCTTTTGCCGACATTTCTCTGGGAAAATAGAAACACAGAGATAAGAAAAGGGTTTTTTTTCAGGGTTTTATTTTTTAATGTTAAGCGTTTGTCCGGGGGCTTATCTGCTTTTTTAAAAAGTGTTTTTCAATTGCTCTTTATTCACAAGTTTCAGCCATCTTGAGATATGGACAAGTGATTACTTTTATTAATTTTTAGCGACGAACTCGCAAAATAGTTCAACTTCATCAAGAAAATTGTAAATCCTTGTTTAAAAGACTTCTAGACGTTTTCACCGCTCGAGGGGTTTTTCCCTCAATCATTTGTGAGCCAATATTCCACCCAACGTTTGCTCCTCGTAAAGTATTGTTTATTTGTCCATTTGTCGAATCATGATGAACAGTAAGCTTTTTTTTAATTTCAAAGATAGTTATCATGAAAATCAGATATCGTCGACTTTTTTCCCTGAAGTGATCCTTACAAATACGCAAGTAGTGTAACAGATTTACCCCTGATATATAATTCAGATCCAGGGGCTGTGATACCATCGATTCTATTAATTGTTGTTACCTCTTGCTTTGACTCATAATGTTATCAGAACTAAGGAACGCCAACTCAAGTTTTGATAGCACTTGCACCACATGTTGGGCACAATTTAACTTATTGACAAAGGGTGCGATAAAATCGCGGGACGTTGTGTTTGGAATACAACAGCCAAACAAACTTCGTGCACCACCGCACGCTCTAAGAAACAATTAATAAAAAATGATGATTTGGGTGCGAATGAACAGACTCGAATCAGTGAAATGAACCAAAAGTAATTGCAATGATTTCAATTTGAAATGAAATGGAGAGGCGGCAGGCTTGTGCTAAAAAGGTAAGCTTTTTGATAAAAGAGAGCCGCTCTCGACCAACTTCCCAATCCTTTGTGAAAATAGATAGAAAAAGATGGTAAATGTCAGTATCTGCGTAATTGTGCAATTATCCCTCCTTTGACTCAGTAACAGTCAACTGATAACAAGTTGCATTGTGGTTAACATTGGTTTAAGGGAGGCGTAGGCGCGCAGTTGCTCTAATACCGACATTAATTCGGCCATTTTGTGCTCGGTCATCGAGGAAAGAAGAATACCACTGTTCTTACAAACTCCCTTATCCCGAATCTTTATTTGCTGAAGAAGATTGACAAAATACTCAACCCTTCCCACCCTAACATTAGAATGTATGAATCTTTGTTTGGTAAAGGAGATTGACAAAATACTCAACCCTTCCCACCCTAACATAAGAATGTATGCTGCGGCTCCATAGTGTTCTCTATATATTTCCTAAGGTGCTGACAAGGAGAATTTCTTTCACATTCAAGAGCTTCTTTAGTTGGTGATCATTTATTTTATTCTCATGACCTTAATGTGTGATTCAGGAGTGATACTGTTGGGAGAAATTAAATGCTAGTCACTCTTACGGGTCAAAAGGTTTAGGAAGGACACTTTTGGGCCAGACTTGTTCACTTTTGGGGCAATGCGACGTGGCTACGTAAAAATACTAACACAACTCTAGAAGCTAACACAAAGAACTATCCAAACTGTAAACTCCACCAATTGACTGAATTGCTACAGGATGCCGTTAAAACAAAACCATAGCAATCACACGAGCCAATCGTAAAAAAGGAGAATATCTCAAGGGTAAAAGAGGACTCAAACCAAAAAGAAACAAACCGCCCAAAGCGCGGGAAAATGCACGTGACCAATTCGCGGTTGGTTCTAGTTTTGAATCTTATTGGCAAGTTTTTCGGGACCGATCACATTGCGAAGTGAAGCAAAACCAAAGCAATCCGGAATTAACTTCGCCAATTAATTGGGATTTCTCTAACATGTACACAATCAAGAGAGGACAGCTAAGAGCATCACAACTGGCAATGAAATTTGGTGATTTTATTATAAAGAACAGGCACGTGAGAAGTTTCAGAAGTGAGATGCGTGGAAAAAAAAGTATTGTTCCGGTCATTTTCCAAAACCAAAAATTCAGCTCCAAAACAAAATTTTACTTTTCATCCTCTGGCAAAACTTCTCCGAGATACATACTGGTAAGGAAATCGCATTGAGGAAGAGAACAGACAGCTCTGTACACGTGACTTGGTGTCACAAGCCTAGGACCGTAAGACGTAGTCTGGTCAGCGGCACAAGCCCATGACTGACGTAATAGATCTTCAGCAAATCTTTTGCAGGCCGTCAAAAGAAGGCTTTCAATAACCTGCACATTTACTCCATCGGTATGGACAGTCTTCAGCTTGACACCGATGTCACTACACGTTTCACGGATCCAATTCTGTTCCAGAGTTGACGGAATGGTATACACAACTGGTTTCCCATCTTGAGGCTTAGTTGCCTTTTCTCTGGGTATGTTACCGACCACATCGATTTCCAGGTCTTCTGAGTTGTCGTCAGGTCGTGGTATGTCAGGAAGACATTTTTCTCTCAATTCCACTTCAGGGAAAAGGGTAGATGGTAGCGTGAGGCCATTGAAACACAGTTCCTCGCATTTATGACCTTCATCTACTTCAGAGGGCACCTCAGATTGAACACCAAGGCAGCTTCCGCACAGATTACAGAAAGAAACTTCCTCCACTGACACTTTGTCACACGGCGTGTAACCAAACCGACGGCACCAGACTAAGATATCTTTGATACTGAGCTTACATAAAGGCATCGAGCTTAATATACGGCGCCTTACAGCCGCTGCCCTCTGCCACTCACAGGCTCTTCTCTTACCAATATTCCAACCAAGAAACTGTTCCGAAGTGGCAGCACAATAATGGTGCTTCACGACGTTTCTTGCAGGATCAATCAAGGGGTGTTCTTTCAAAAGTTTCCTCAACTGTTCTTTAACTTCTTCCGTGAACTGGTTCTGTCCGGAAATTAGCTCTGGGCTGCCACACCTCGATGATGGCTGACTGTTAACGGGTGATGACACTGCGGAAGAAATTGCTGATGAACCCGCGGAGACTGATTCCAACTTCACTTTTTTCAGTTGAGGATATTGTGATGACATTCCTGATGTGTCCGAAAATTTTCTAACTGTCGGAAGCGTTTCATGTTGAAGCTGATTTCTACTGATCTGAAGGTCTCTCGCGGTGTTTCTAAGTGCATCATCACCATGCTCTTGATGCGCATTTGAAGAAACAGTGGGAAGTTTTTCAGAAACACTTTCTACAGAAGCTGGTATATAATTATCTTTGATCGTCCTACGATCCAGCTCCAAGTCCACAACAGTTTCGGAGCCTAATGTCTGAAGTCCTGTATAGGTTCTGTCTAACTTAAGTTCGTGAAAGATGTCAACTCTCTTGTTCCTGGGGTCAACAAAATGTAGCTGAACACGGACTGTAAATTCTCCCCAACCTCTTCTGGTCAAATGAAAAGGAGGCTTGTTGACTTCCACTATGTCGTTCGGACGATAACTCGGGTGAAGAAAGAACCACACTTTCTTTACAAATCGATCAATGTGCGGATCTTCGGGTGGACCTCGAACATACACCATCCACTTGTGGGTAGATTTGTCGTTATCCTCCCGCCTGTCTAACGATATGTACTTTGATGTGTTCCCAACAATGATTCGCTTTTTGACATAAAATCGCGATCCAGCGCTAGCAACAATCATGGGCGTTGCATATGAAACGCTTGCTGTTGCAATTGGTGGGTTTTCTTGACTTGTACTACTCTCTAAACAGTTTTGAGTGATTCCATTGCGTGTTTCGGGGTTTGATTTATCAGAATGATCTTCCTTCACGATCTGATTCAAGAGAGCAGGTTCTCCAGATGCAATTGTTCCATTTTGAGTAGTGCTACAATTCTCTTGTTTCGTGTGAAGTACAACGTCGACAATTTGATTCCTACTGCCAACAAGTTGATCATCAGTACTTGTTGTTGTCTCAAAGGCCTCTGATTTCTTAACTTCCAAAGTCTCCCTTACTTCTGACTTAACATTTCTCGTTGAACTGATCGTTTCTTTAGTGGGATTTCTGTTGTCTGGAATCCTTTGAAAGTCGACTCGTTTTGCAAGATGCCTACCAGACTTTCTTCGATCACATCCCTCATTCTTGAAATGAGAACGATTTCTAGATTGGTTTCCTCTGCTTTCGGATGAGCCGTAATACCTTGCCAGCACGCACGCTCTCAGCTTATCTAACATGGCTGTAGCATGACCGATTCTATCGTCAATCACTTCAATCTCTCTTTCCTTGAGATGTATTTCCAGAGCGAACTGCTGTCGAATTATTTTATCGATCTTTTGAATAGTTTGTTCCTTTGCATCTCGCTGTCTTGAGGTCAGAATTCTTCGCTCTCGTTCCCGTTGATTACTGCCGGCAGACTGATAATCTGGATCCTCCATTTCTTGTTTGCACGAACTATTTTCCATGTTGCTTTAAAAAAACGCCATTAATTTCCCCAGAAAAACCATAAGTTACATCTCTGATTCGAAAAAACTGCTTGTCCATGTGTGTTTACGTTTTCCACGCGTGCTCTACGATTGAGAACGCTGCCAGAATTCGCGGGCGTAGAATTGTTTTCTACCCAGTCCCATTAGTCCAAAGCTCGTCCTTTTCTGGGGGTCCCTGCTAGTTATACATTTTGCTTGAGATAACAGCAAACGCAAAATTAAGAGGAGAACACTTCATGAACAACCTAACTTATTTTTATGTCGCCTTTAAGGCGCATCATGAACAACATGAATTTTATCTTTTCACCTTTCGAACTTCTTTCATAGCCACGCACCCACCCCTCCCATCTCACCAACAATCATTTGTTTACAAAGATGGTGGCTTCAGAAACGGAACATTATTAGCCGATCTCCAGGCTCGTTTTTTTCTTGAACATGTGTTGGGAAGATAAAAGCAACAATGCAAGCCCATCTGCTGGAAGGAATGAATTTATTGCAGTGAGCAGGTAAACTGAATAAAAGTCTGAAAGATGCGTCGAGTGCATTCATGCTACTACATTTTGTCTTCGACCGCTGGGTAGATTTCCGTGGATCATGTTAGAATATTTCTATTAAAGAATATTTATTTGGTCACGTCCACCTACAGAGATTATCGGAAAAGTGTTGTGTGGCGAATTGCATGTTTTCTTTCCCAATTTGAAAGGTGGTCTCCTCCATGGATGCTAGGAAGGGTGAAATTTTGAAGATTACAGAGCACGAATGGAAACTTGGTATCTGTATTGGAAGGGGAACATGTAGTGAGGTTTTTGAGGCTGCTGGGACCCTCTGCTATAAGAGTGGGCGTAAGAGAGCTGTTAAAGGAGCTGTCAAGGTTTTCAAGGAAGGATCACAATTTGAACAAGCTGCTCTCAACGAGATAAAGATTTTGCAGTATTTATGTCATGAAAGTGAATCCCTCGACGTATATTACTTTGGTGAGTATTTTTTATATGCATTTGAAACTGTTTTCAATGCTGAGTAAACTGGAAAGTTAGAAAAAAGATGATTCAAGAAAGGTTTTGACAAAGGTGAAAAGTTTGGTCGTGACTCCCTGTCGTATCAAAGTTGACCAACTTAATCTAAGGGGGGTGGGGAGGCTGGCCATTGTACAAGTGTTACTGTGAGCTAATGGTTTGACTGAATGGTACTCAGACACTCTGCCAACATGTCAACTTGCCAAAAATCTTCTCTCTGACACATTTGCATAGTCATCACCTCAGGTAAACTTGCTGATTTACTTGTCACTTTGCCAATGTCCTCAGTCACTTCAATCCTGACTTATATTCAGTGAGAGTTATTGGGCCAGTGATTTCTCTGAACAATCAGCAAATGTAAACCTAGTACAGTTGACAGCAAGTTGATGTTGGGAAATTGACCAAAAATATCGGGAAGTTGACTAGTGGTATCAGCAAGTTGCTTTCAAACATGTATAGCACTAACAATTAGGCCCCTCCATTATGGGAGAGGTCTAAAAATCATCACCTTGATTTTTTTGCTTATTTAATGGTGCATATTTGTTTTCTTTTCAGTGCATTTATTGGATTACTTCCTTTATAGAGGTAATTTCTACTTGGTTTTTGAGCAGTTGGATTGTCATCTTCATCACATTTTGCTTAAGTACTCAGGCAAAGGTCTTCCTATCTCTATTGTGAGAAGATGTTCTAAGGATGTTGTGAAAGCCTTGAGCTTTTTAGCCATCAAAAGAGTTGTTCATGGTGACCTAAAGATGTCCAATATAATGTGGAATCCAAACAGAGGTATCTTTCAACTGGTGGATTTTGGACTCAGTTTCCTTGAAGGACATCTTCAAGTGAGTCTTGTGTTTGTTTCACTGACAGTGATTTTCTGTACAAAGTTTTGAAAATGCTTTTGGGGTTGGGGAATCATTATAATTTGAAGGATGTAAGGATGGTTAAAATGGCTAGCAATATGTTTGATAAATCTGTGAAACCTTTAACCCCCATGAGTCACCATGTGTGAGACCTTGAAGAATGTCTTAACACTTCAAATGTCATGGTGAATATTGTTGGTCACTAGAGATTTTTGAAAATAAGGCTGACAGTCAGCTATCTTAGCCCTTTAACTCCCATGAGTGACCAAGAAAAAATTTCTCTTTACAATTTCAATATAAGATCAAGCAGATAAGTAATAACAATGTTATTATAGGAAATATTAACTAGGAGATTATTGGTAGATCCAATACTGAATTCTCCAAACTAAAACCATACAAATTTTAGGAAAGAGAATAAGGAGAATCACTACTGATTGAGATTTTGAGAGTCAAAGGTTTCAGTGCTTTTTAAATGTATTGAATTGCAGAGAACATGTTTTGGTACCATTATAGTGTCATGAAAAAATTCATCAAATATATGAAAAAATACAGATAATTGTGCAACATTAGCATCTGTTTTATATTCTTCAGCCCTCTCAGCCTCTTCAGAGCCCTGGTTACCAATCTCCTGAGGTGCAAATGTGGAACAGACTAGTTCCTCATGGTACAACTGAAAATAGTATGTCGGTGAGTAGTCCAGAGTACTTAAGAGCAGATCTCCAGAAATTAAACAGGGATATGGCAATATTAAAAAAGGTTACACCAACCCTCTTTTGGACCACCTCACAAATGAATTTCTTTGATATATTTTTGCAGAAATGTTTGTTTGCTTGTGACATGTGGAGCTTTTCTTATGTACTATGGTACATGTACACAGGACACCCAGCTCCCAGACATGAATTGCATGAACCAGTCTGTACCATGTGCTTGCAAGAAAAGGTAGCTACAAATATTTAGGATATGTGTTGGAATTACTGACTCCATTTGAAACAGCTGTAAATGTGGCTTACATTTAGCCAGTTAACCCTTTGACTCCTAAGAGTGACCAGGATCTAATTTCTCCTCATAATATCACCCCTGAATTATACATTTAGGTCCCATGAATAAAGGGAATGATTGACAACTGAAGAAGCTCTTGATATTTATACAAATTTTCCATGTCAGCACCTAGGAAATTTATAGTGATAAGTATGGAGAAAATGTATATTGACTTAATTAGTTTTAAACTTTGTTTTTCCCTCAGGATTGTATGCATTTCCAGCAAATCCAGAAGGAATTACCTCAAGATGAAAGAGAGATTACGCTTGAACAACATAATTTTTTTCTTGACTTTGTTATGAGGTACTGTAAGTATTTAATGAACATTTTGCTTTTGAATTATCAACTTTTTCATTTAGTTACTAACAGCTGTACATGTTATACCTTGGTTATCTCTGTCAGAGATGTTAAGCATTCTATATTCAGTACAACTGAGGAGCATAGCTGATATGAGAGATATGTGAAGTTTGACAGAATAATGCAAAGCACATGACCTGTAGAATAATGTTCCAATTGAAACCTAATAAAAAGCTTTTAAAAATGTCCTAACCCTGTTCCATTCTTTCCACCCAAAAGAGCTGACATCCAACTGTGTACTACAGTTGTTCTTTACACTTGCCCATACAAAACCTAATCCCCATAGGGGATTAGGTGTTAAGGATCTTGTACTCGTGATTTTCCCCCTCAGCTGGTTTTGGAGTCCAGATTTCTTTCATTTCAAGGGAAAAGAAAGTTTAAGGCTTTCAGATAGATGCAACTCTCTGGTATGACTGGAAGGCACCTCATTTATGGCCTACCACAGTTTCTCTTGTGAAGAATCCAGGTTTTATTTACCTAGGGTACACAATAATGAACATTGTTGAGATCAGAAACACTCAATCCTATGAAGCTGAGGGAGTTCTGATAAATCTGTGGTCAATTAAGAATTTTTGAATGAAACTAAACTTAAATTTACTTTGACCTGCAGAATGATGAAGTGCAAACCAGAGCAGAGGATAACACCTTTTAATGCCATGCAGCATTCCTTTCTTAACGGTAAGCAAAAAAAAACCTGTCAGAAGGTTCCATGAATGTTTTTTGGCCTTTGGTGGTTTGTCTGAACAATTGTGGCCCTTAAGAAATACCTGATTTCTTTTACTAGCATCACCAAAGAGCAACTTAATGTACAGAATTATTTTTCTAAGTCACATCAATTGTACCTATATTTTAGCTCTATGGTTTGTTTGAATTAGAAACTGATTTAAAAAAATATCAGGTGAGTAAATGAAGTCTTGCTGGGTTTTAAGAGAGTTGTTCCATGATGTACATGACTGTATATTTCCCTATCTTTACACAAAAGAATTTATACTCTCCATGTAACATTAGCATCAGATCTTAACAGAAAGCAGACCTGAGCTAAGTGTCAGGAAATACCAAGGACTGTTCTGTTCTTTTGAATTCTGTCCATAATGATTTTCTACCTGATTGCCTGGCAAACTTGGTTTTGAATTACCAAGTATCCACAAGGAGATGTGTGTCAGTTGCATCATGTGTACATGAAATTATACTCTCTTTGTTTCACTTCAGATCAGCAAAGAAATTTGATTAACTTTATTTTGAAAATCAGATTATTATGCAGTTATTGCTGCATAAAGAGAGAGTTGGGTGCCATTCTCAGTTTGGATAATTTCATATATTTTTTCCACAAACAAAGTTATTTGTGATAGATATTAAATTTGAAAAATTCGTTTAAAGGATAACTGGTTGTAAATGGAGTAATATTAATTTTATACCCACTAAGACTTAAAATTATATTATTTTGGTAATTTATTTTGGTCTTCACACTGACAGAAGGTTCCACCTGGAATGTTCCATTGGGTTTGACAGAGTTGTTACTGCTTCCAACTAGAATCTTACAGCTGACCAACATTCTTTTAGAAGACCTCTCCACTGATTTACAATTTGGTAAACATAATTTTTATTTTGTTATTTGAATTAAAATATTTAAAAAACTGTGACAATTCTAATGTTTTTATGTCAGAAAATATTTTTTCAATCTTTAGCATGAAAATGGAATGGCTAGTTACAGTGAATGAAGTGTATCATCATGTATTTTTTGTAGTTCAGTGTCGTCTTGGATTTTGAATTAATTTCAAACCAATTTGATTTTTATTTTCTTTGTGTTAGACTCTAATAATGAAAAAAAGGAAAAAAAAAAGATATCAAACTCGAGTGAAGATCTTTCAACCAGAATGAATTTAACCATATACAATTCATACACTGCTCAAGCTTGTGTTTTAGTGATTCTGGGTCTGTATCAGTCACTTGAATACCCAGTTCAGCTCATAATATTTTGGTGTTGGGAGTGGAAGCAGAATCATTTGGCCTTCAAGATTCATGGTTCATTGTTTTTTTTTAGCTCAGTGATTCATGGTTCATTAAAAATTTCCATTTGATTTGTATATTCAAATTTAAACTTATATTTTAAATTATTTTTTTGCAGACGGATTGATGGATGTGAAGGAGGAGTGCGCAAAGTTTGGTGCTGTGAAGGGATTCAAGTTTACTGGTGATTCAAATACAGGATATAAGGTAACAGGGCGAGGGAGAGTGAAATTGCAATGAGGCTTTAACTTTCATGAGCCGAAGGGCGACCACGAAGCGATAAACAATGCAAGTTACTCGTGCAATGGTTAGCAGGCAAGGTTGTAGGTGATAGATGGCTGCCCGTAGATTAGTGGCGTTAGAAGGTACTTTACGACTCCACTTCGGCTGTACCCTGGGGCAAAATACAGCATTTTGAGGGTCATTGACTCTAAGTTTTCCTCTGTTACTTGTCTAACAGCATCTTAGATCGAGAGCGCGTATTGCAATTTAAGTCAAACGTGTGTAAAGAATTTATTATGGCCAATCAGATTAAAGGAAAGCGAGAACTCCTTTAGGACTGCATGAATTGCCGGAAAACGCCAGTAGCAAGCGGTTTTAGTTTAGTATCTATTTAGTTGATAGTATATCGAGTTTTTTTGGACCAACTTGAAGATACAGATTCAGTTATGGAGCATTGCCTTCCGTAATAATCATAAACGACATTCAGTTGAAAATTTCCTCAAACGCGCATCTTTTAGCCTTTAAAATGCCTCATAGTCTGCTTTCTTGCTCTGTAGGTGTTTGTCGAGTTCTCTAATGCTGACGACTGCTCGCGGGCCCACAGTGCGCTCACAGGACGGGACTTTAATGGCAGGACAGTCATTACCAGCTTTTATCCCATAGATTATTATTATATTGATTACTTTTGGTGCTGATACTTTTTCTGCAAGATACAAAAAAAAATATGAACTTATCTTCTATGCTCCTGTTTGTGAATTGAGGAAAAAAGAATCTTCATCTGATTTCTACAAATTTTTAATTCAGAAGTGAACCAAAGTTAAACCATATTTCTGGTTTGGAAAAAACATTCCTCTTAAAATGTTTTCTCCTCCGAAGAGTATACAGAGGTACTAGTGGACCTGAGAATGGCTGTAGGCTTACCTTCCATGGACTAGCAGCCTTTCTAGGAGGAGAATTAATTGTGTCGGCAAACTTTGAAGATCATGTTTTGTTTACTATCATGATATCCTAATCCAACCCTTCTCCCATGGCTGTTTTAAATTGTATTTTCTTCTCCCTCGGCTTGCTTAAAACTCTGTTGGAAAACCCCATGTCAATTAATCCCATTCCCAGGCACTGCTAGGGATCTTTCACCGAATTTTATCTTGTCGGGGTACTCCTTAAGGGTCTTGTATTTTCCCTACTTACCTTTTACTGTCATTGGCAATTTCTTTGAGGTTTTATTATTTTTATGGTATTGTTTGAATAATTGTAATTAACTTATTAAAGTTTTGTTTGGATAACCTCAGGCTCTCGTATATCTATCTTTTGGTGGGTTTGCAACGTAGTATCTTAAGCACTTAAAGGATTCCCCAGTCGATGTGAAGGTTAACTTCCAACCCCAGTTTTACAAACTCCAATGCAGTCTTGGTTACTGTGTTTCATACGCTTTCCTTTACCATTATGGGTACTGCGGGACAAATCTAGACGGTAATTGCGAGTAATTGATCCAGTTCACCCAGCGATTGTTTCCTTGATAGCCTTAATATGCATTTACGATAGAACTGTACCCAATTCCAAAGTTGCCAAGATATGACAGTAAGCTATTCTCACTACACTCGAATTGTTTGTAAACATTGCGCGTGAACGCTGCAGCCGTGGTGTTCATAGCACAGAAACTATACGATCCTAAAAGGTACGTGGGACTGAAGAGAGCCTAGCGCATAACAAAGCAAATGCTAGTGTGTTCTTCGTTTTAATAACTAAAGGGTTCTGTTTAATTATCTTAACAAACGTGGCCAGGTTCATTGACAGCTCGAGATTGCGTAGGGAATAGATAACTCCTAACGTAGCAACTAAGGAATTGGATGCAGTTTCTGACGCAAACACATTCTTGAGGAGGTCAAAACAGAAAAAAAGAGAGTTCAGGCTAACTGGATCAATTCGTCGGCCTTTTCGTCCTACGGATTGCCCTTCCCTGCCAGTATTGTATGCTTTCATGTATTTGGATTATAAAAAATTCGCGTGGATTAAATACCTTGCACAATTAAATAGTTATTTTTCCTGAGAGGTGTTAACAGCTGAAGGGGTCTATGTTGGAAAAGAGAAATACTGGAAGTAGTCTCTCATTAATAGCATTTGTTGTGAAATTCTTGGCTTTTCTTATAGAGCAGGCAACGATTGCAGCACAAGCGGACTTTGGTGAATACTCGGCGAGTGTTCATTTGTTTTTGTGGCCGTTTTAAAGACTTTTTTAATTAGGTGTTAATTGTTGAATAGTTCGCTCTACCACCCGGAGTGAAATAACCCTTTGTACTCAAGGGACCTTTAAAGGTGTTAATATAAGCTGGATTTCATTTTGATTCCTTTCCGTCTAATGTTTACGTCAAACAACTTTTTTTAACTCCTACAGAATGCAATGTTGTTGTTGTTTTTTTTTAAATTTCGCATTTGTGAAACTAGTTCATGAGTTAACGACTGAAGTTTCAAAGTATGACTTCTTTCGTATTCAATGGACGCATGCTAGAAACTTGTGCTCCTTTAGAAGGAGATTTAGCTTTGCAACAATTTTGTCCGTTTTGATAAAACAATCTGAAAATTGCATATCATTCGTGTGACCGATGTCGATTATGTGATATCTTTCCTTTTAAATTCAGTTGGGAAACGAAAGTTCAAGCCAAGTTGCTGTATTACTGCCAGCTGTGAGTCAGAGCAACATTCGCACGACCTTAACATAATGCCTGTACATTTTAATAACTAAACATGACTTGATTGATGATTTCAAAGTTCGCAAAGGAGTGTGAATGACTAGTCTGTCAGCGGTCGGGGTAATTAGGGGGGACAATGTTTACTTGGAAAAGAAAAGAAACTTCGCTATTTTGTGCTGAGGCGCGCCTCACATATTGTCCTCTAAGTTTGTTAAGGACGTCTTTGACAGTCGTTTGACCACAGGAGCAATTCTGACACGATCAGTCTGATCAGATTTCACGATATCTTTGCTTTATTTTCGATGAAGTTTTCAGTTGTTATTGGAACTATTGGTAGCGCAGAGTGCCACTTTCAATGTCGTTTCGTTCCATAGTCATCAGAACTAAGGACTCATTAATAACTCACTCGTCCCTGACAGAACTACCCAAAAAAATTGCGCAAAGCCAAGCATGCTAAACTGGTGACGACTGCGCGATATTGAGTACTATCGAAGAAGAAAACTCTTGGAGAATAAAAGAGACACATGAATGCTTAGTGTGGACTATATCATAAACTCTGATTAACGTGCTGTCTACAAGATATTGACTATGTACCCCTTTATAAAGACGTTTAAAATCATTTTGCTTGGTATTGACATTTACAGTGTGCGTTTCATACCAAGCTAACCTTTTTTATTAAATATTTCATCAATGCCTAATTCCCTATCAGGATCATCCCCTTCCAGTTCTTGTAAAGGTTTTCTAGGCCTTCGTATGTACCTGGCCTTTTTAGCCTCTTGTAGAAGATCTGTTAACGGCGGTAGCAGGTAAACAGTCCGAGGTAACCCATCGGGGGGAACATGAAGGTACTGTGTATAATCAGGCTCATCGTCATCTTCACCGTCGTTCACCTTATTCATAGTCGGTTGAGAAAGTCTAGTTTGAATCCTGTCTTTGACTGCAACGAGGTTAACATTTACGAGCGAAGAATCGAGTTTAGACGAGCCTTGAGGCGAAACGGGACGCAGTCGTTCTGTGTCACCGTTTGTATTTGTGATAGAGACGTTTACCGTTACTCCATCGGTGGAGTTTGCGAGGTTTTGTGCCGCGGGCGACACATCGAGGTTAGGTTTTCTACTGCGCGAATGTTTTCTTCTTTTTTCTCTTGGCTTAGAAAAAACTCGCGGTGATGTGAATGATTCGTCGATTTCGTTCTCATCCACTCGTGAAAAATCAGTCCGAGAAGTAAGCTGTGGAGTGGCTGTACTCATTGAAGGTAGCGTCGGTAACGACAAACTTTTACGTCGCGAATCCTGCGCATCATCATTGTTCAAAGCTGCGCCGATAGAGTTTTCAACCTTCCTCGAGTCGACGTCGAGATTGTTTCTTGTAGACGCTGCTCTTTTAGACTTTTTTCTTCTTGTATTGTTATCGCTGTCAACTTTACCCGGTATTGGCCGCTCGATTATTGTATCTCTCATTTCTAATTTACCTGAGGTTTGCGTGATCTCCCTCAACTCATGTTTCAGGCGTCGCATCTCGTAGTCAAGCGATTGCAGTTGTGTGGACTGCTGTTCCTCCAAGCTACCTTTACGGATTTGCAAGCGGTTTCCTGCTCTCTTGTTTAAATGACGAGCTTTGCTGGCGTTATGATCAAGTTGTTGGGCTGAAAACAGTATATTGTTGCCACGACGAGGAGTTCTTTCTCCCATGACGAATTAACGCCGAATGTACTTATGTCGACCCCGTGATTTTTATAATAACTATCCGTGAGACAAAGCCATGGTATTTTGACAACTCAACGAAAATCTCTGTCGTGTCGAGGGTAGTCGTTTGCATAACAATTCCCTCAGTCGATACAATTTGGTCCCGTCTGTGTGGGAAGTATTTAAGATATCTCAGTTATTAGCATAAGGTACTTAAACGTCATACACCGCATATACATTGAACAATGCCAAGCGTTTTGTTTTCTTTAGTGTCCCACTGGGAAGCCACTGATAGCCAAAGGGCAAATTTCTTTTGTGACAGGGTCATTCTTGAAAATCAAGCAACCGTTTTGTTGTTTTGAGGTTGATTGGCAAAGCAGATTTTACAAACAAACAAATTAGATTCACATCACAATATTAATCTCACACACGAAAGGTAACAATACAATTTAATGTTTAGGAAAGTTCACGTGGTTCAGTCATCAATCATCCGATTCTTTGCACTTAGATCAGTTTTTCGTCGCCCAAGAGTTGGTTACTTCTTTCTTCGTGACCTAGGTAAGGTCTGGCGAGCACACTTTTACGTCATCAAATTGGTGGGTTTGAGGATTTAAAGAGGAATTGGTGACAGATTAAAGTGGGTTTTGACAGCTTTTATTGTTGTTTCAGCTGAAATAAATGAATTAAAGCCAAAAGGTTATGATGATTTTAATACAATTTATTAGGATAAGAAATTGTACGCCGTCTTTCAAGCATCAAGGATTCCCAGTCTTTTTTTCAATAAATTATTCCTTTTACGTTTTTTTTCACGAGCATTGGAAACTGGCCACGGCATTTTGGTGTTACATTACGCATTTCCGTCGAAAGCACAACATTTTCAAAGCCCTCCAGGGTTCTAAAAGCACTGCAGGGTGTACCGGTATTAGTTTGACACAGTAGTTTCCAAGTTATCTATTCCCCGCAGAGGTCCGCAAAAATCGTCCATTTAGAGTTCCGTGATTCAGAGCCGTGGAATGGATCGGCCTCTTAGAGCAAATATTTATTCCAAACAATCGTTGTTTGGTTTCTTTTTTGCATCGGAGTGTTGTGATACCGCAAAAATCCCACAAGGGGGCACGTAAACATTCTTGTCGACCTTGATTCGATTTATATCGTCAAAAGGAGTGAGGTCATTCAACTGAATGTTGATTAGCAGATTACTATAAAAACAGTAACGATCAAAGTATCTCGTGTTTGCACCAGACAAAGGCAGCAAACTGTGAGGATGAAACCTATTGTACAGAGCGCTTTTCAATTGAATGCCATAAAACCAAAATCAAAACAACCACAACAGCCAATCATAGCGAGGAATATATCTCGAGGAGCCAATGAGAACTTGAAGTAAAAACAAGCAAACTGCCTGAGGCGCGGGAAAACGCGAGTGACCAAGTCGTGATTGGTCTTAATTTGGCATCTGATTGGTTGAGAAAGTGGCGCCAGTCACATAATAAAGTGAAGCAAAGAAAAAGCAATCCTGGATTAATTTCGATACTCAATTGAAAATGTCTTTTTCGCAAATAACACAGGTCACGGTCTTTCCACCCCAGTGAATAGTTAAGCCTACATTTTTCGAGTCAGTCATCCGTTCTAATTTTCCCATCATGCCAGAGCTACCTTAGGGGGCCGGTTCGCTATTTGTGCTCTGGTTTTCCTGTGGTTAATTGCGCTCGGTTTTTTGTAGCACGTTCCATCCGTTTTTACACGCAATCGGTTGTTAAAGAACGCAGTGGGTGTGGGCCAGACATCTAACATTGAATTGGGTTTTAGTGTTTTATCGGTTTCTCGATTTTAACTTATTGATAGGGCTCCTTTTTTGCTCCACTGCCTGTTGACAAAGTACTCAATAGTCGAGTCTTAAGATTCAAAATATTTCACCTCAACCCCTGGGAGCAGGAAAAAATTTAGCTGTTTAGTGTAAATCAGTTCTGTTTCGCGAATGTTTGATTCCTGGTAATCGCAAATCCATCTCCCGCCGTTGATTAGTAAATAGTCTCGGTACTGACTTATCTTTCAGTAGTAAGGACTTTTGAAAATGCTCATTCTATTTGCTCCGCTCTTTTCTTAAGCTTTCACAGTGACCCTAGTAAGCTTATAGGCTAGTGTCGGATACACGGATATTAATCCACACATCCCTGCATGGGACAGACCAAATAAACTAGGAAATACAAGAGAGATCAAAGCAGCTTTAATCATATTTTATTTCCACAACTGAATCAAGCGTCTGATGGCCAAGAAGACAACGCGTTAGATTTTCAAGGCAGATGACATTTCACATGCGCATGCTCAACTATGTCTGTTTAAGTCTTTCGATCACTCCAGTATTCAAATGGTGCTTGCTTACTGGGTCTGAGCAAGAGATTAAAATCTCTTGTTCTAAGTCGGGTTTTTCATTGTGCACAATCAACTGAATGCGGCAACAGTAGCTTGTCGAAAGCCTCAGGTGGGTTGCTTAATATCATGCTGTTAGTTTCTTTGATATAGCGTTAGAAAATTAAAGTTACTAAAAATCATCATAATTGCTACGTACTCAATAGCTAGATACAGTCTAAAGACCTCAATAAATTTGATTATAGTGCTGATGATAATCGATAATTGTGTTTCGGAGTTACATATGGCATAA